CCTACCATGGTCACGCACGGAGCGAATACGAGGTCTGGCTATTAAAAAACGAGACTACGCGCGCAGAAGGCGTCCTAGAGCGAAAGAGACGGAAACGAATGCAGCATTGGATAGCTGGAAGTGTCTACTCTTTTAGTACGAAAACACGTTTTTGTCGCTGTAGTAGTATTTTTTCTGTAGAGTTTAGAAAAGAACGTGTTTTTTTCTCGTTCCGAAAACAATGTGTGACGAAAAATATGAGCAACGGATTAATGTGAAATTTCTCGTTAAATTAAAAAAAAAAATCCGACTGAGTGGTATAGTTCCGACTGAGAGAGCGCCGAAGATGACTAACATCCAGGTCGACCTGTCGCTGTTTCAACTCCGCAAACAGTGACCAAAATAAATGAAATTGTGCGCGGAAATCGTCGAATGAGCATTCGGATGATTACCGAGACTGTAAACGCCGTTAAAGAAACTATCAGAAAAATTTTACATGGCGAATTGAACATGAAGAAAGTCTGTGCGAAGTTGGTCCTAAAAAATTTGACCCCTGACCAAAAGCTCATCCGTCATCGGATCGGCTCAGGTTTTCTTGAGAGGTTACATGAAGAGCCTGAATTAATGGAAAACATCATCACTTGCGATGAAACCTGGATATTCAAATACGATATTGAAACTAAGCGACAATCAATGCACTGGAAAACTGCATCGCCAAGAATGAAAAAAAAAACAAAGATGTCGAAATCAAAATTTAAAGCCATGCTAATCGTTTTTTTTTCGATATTAACGGCATCGTGACGACTGGATAGGTTCCAGAGGGTCAAACTGTAGATCAAACTTACTACTTGAAAGTTTTGGCAACGCCGTGAGAGCGAGTTCGTAAGAAACGGCCGGAGTTGTAATAAAACAAGCCGTGGATCTTTCACCAGGACAACGCACCTGCTCATAACGCGTCTGTGAAGCGTTATTTAGCCGCTAGAGGCACTCCAGTGCTCGAACACCCGCCGTACACGCCTGATTTAGCACCCTGTGACTTTTTCTTGTTTCCGAAGATCAAGTCTGCCTTAAAAGGAATTCGGTTCGAGTCTGTGGAAGAGGTGAAGCGAAAAACGGCTGAGCTCCTAAAAGCTCTAACAAAAGAAGACTTCCAGCATTGCTTTGACCAATGTAAAAAACGAATGGAACGGTGTGTGGCGAGGGAAGGGAAATATATTGAAGTAGAGCATTCGATTGTAGAATAATTTTTAAAATAAAACTATTTTTCATAAGCAGTCTCGTTATTTAATATATATGTAATAGTATTTGTTTCATCAATCAACAAAGTTTCATTGATAAAATTCAATTGAGTTTCTCTGCAAAGAGAACAACTTTATTATTAGTTGTACAATATTAAATTAATATTACGTTACTTGTAAAAAGAAACATTTGAAGTTTTTAACTAATACTAAAATGACGTCTCTTAGGGCAGTAATAAAAATTAATAATGACAAGACTCAATGCCACTGTCAAAAGCCACAAAGACTTTTAATGCAAGTATTTTGACCTGGCTAATTGGCTAAGCCAAAGCCATTATCCAAAATAAAAGAAAACAGTTTTTCAAAAAACTTGAGACAGTGACGTAACCAAAATTATACAGTAGAACCTGCTTAATTCGAACTTCGTTAATTCGAAATCTTCTTTAATTCGAATTTTTATTCTGGTCCCTAGCATTTCCTATATAAGTAATGGATAATTCGAATTATATTTTGGATAATTCGAACTTTTCTACAAGTTAAAAATGCCAATTTCATGCTGGAAATTTCCGCTAAAAGAGGTAGTATTCTTTTCTGTTCTAACGTGCCACTTGTTTCAAAGGCCATTGTACATTGTACCCGTACCTGTCACCTCAATTCTAGCCCATCTGGCACGCCCCTTCAGTTGAGATGCGTTGGCGTTGCAATTGCAATCACCGCAAATCACGTCAAGTCACTTCGTATTGAGTAAAGATGTCGTCGCATGGTAATACGAAAACATACAAAACTTTAACGTTATCGGAAAAAATAGCGGCGATTAGAGAAGTAGAAAACGGGATGAAGAAAAAATCTGAGATTGCCAGGGACTTTGGAATTCCTCCTAACACATTATCCACTTACTTGAAGAATAAAGAAAAAATTCTCAACAGTGAAAGTGAGTACGGTAAAGATCGAAAAAGTTAAAGGGAGCCAGAAAATCCAAATTTAGACAGTTGTGTGTTAAAATGGTTCAAACAAGCTAGGGATAAGAAGATTCCCGTGAGTGGTCCCCTTATAAGAAGCAAAGCTGAAAAATTTGCTATTGAAATGGGGAAAAACAATTTTAAGGCGAGTACAGGGTGGCTCGACGGCTTTAAAGAACGCAACAAAATATCTTTCAAATCCATTTGTGGAGAAAGTGGGACCATTAATCAGCAAGAAGCCAACTAGTGGAAAAAAAATTTGGAAGAGATGATTCAGGGTATAGATGAAAGATAAATCTTTAATGTTGACGAGACGGGTCTCTTTTTTAAATGCACTCCTGGCAAAACGCTAGCATTTAAAAATGAAAAATGTCACGGAGGAAAACTAAGTAAAGAAATAGTAACTCTCCTAATTGGTGCAAACATGGACGGATCAGAAAGACTGCCTCTACTGATGATTGGCAAGTCGGCTAATCCGCGTTGTTTTAAGAACGTCAAGTAAAAAACAGTGGAATATGTAAGTAGCGCAAGAGGTTGGATGACTAGTGATCTTTTCGAGAACTGGCTGAAAAAATTAGACAAAAAGTTCATAAAAGAAAAAAGAAAAGTTATTTTGTTTATTGACAATTGTACGGCACACACCACTATCCCACTGATGGAAAATGTAAAAGTTATTTTTTTTCCTGCTAACATAACTTCAGTTCTCCAGCCTATGGACCAGGGTGTCATAAAATTTTTTTAAACATTTTTACATACGTTTTTTGGTTGAAAACATATTGATGAAAGATTGCGACACCCTTAAAATAAAGTTAGACATTCTACAAGCATCTCGAATCTGTAAGAAAGCTTGGGACCAAGTAACACCCGAAACGATCAAACACTGTTTCAAAAGAGCTGGATTCATAAAAAAGGAGGAGAACACAGACGACAATTTAACAGAAGAGCTGCTTTCAGTTGACTGCTGGGGGGAGATCATTTCTGATCCTGCCATCTCTTATGAAGATTTTGTCAACGTGGATGAAGATGTTGCAGTATGTGGTGAAATAACCGATACAGAGATCATTGCTGAAGTGCTTAAGGACAATGATGAAAAACAAGAGAGTGATGAAGATGACGCATCATCAGTTGCGGGAGAAATACATGTTCCGAGTGCGGCCGAAGCAACACACCATATTACGCAACTTAAACGGTACTTTGAAAGTAAAAATGATGTAAGTCACTCTATTTTTAGTTCACTGAACATTTTAGAATGGTTTGTCATTACCGAGACGTTAAATTCTAAAAAGCAGCTAATAATTTTGGATTTCTTTAGAAAAAATTAGTCTATTTTCATTAATTGTAACAAATATGTATTCTTATTTTCAATAAATTTTTTGAGACAAAATGTTTTATTTTTTTAATGATGCGTTCTTACTGGGAATTTTTTATCTGCCGATTGTTTCGGCTAAGTTTTGGCCAAAAATACCAATGAGAAAACCTGCAAATGATAAAAATCGACAATAATTGATCATTTGTTATAGCTTGCAAATGCTTTCATTGGTATTCTGGCCTAATTTTGTTGGCCCATTTTTTTCGATTGACAAAATTCGGGCAAAAATAGAAACGAAAACATCTCCAAGCGATAAAAATTGTCAACTATTGTTGATTTTTATCATTTGTATAAATATTTTTTTGTAGGCATCTTTGTTTTTTGTGGATATATTTTTAATTCGAATTTTTGGATAATTTGAAGTTTTGGATAATTCGAATTTTTTTAACGGTCCCTTGAGGTTCGAATTATCCAAGTTTCACTGTATTACATATGTTAAAGAAAAGCGAAAGTGTATATATAACAATAGGATGATAACAGTTGTTATATCATATACATGTCGAAGCTGGTGGTTCATTGTGTTAGCAGCTGAATATTAAAAGCCAAGTGTATTCTTATCAACGATATCCTTATATTTCGTTGGATTTCTCTAACATCTTTAGACGAAAGCTACAATAGTTTTACAAAATATGGTCGACTTGTATAATTTAGAAAATAAGATAAAACACTTACTTGTGTGAAGTTCCCGCAAAACGTTGTGAAAAAAAGTCTCGAGGTCATTGTAGTGAATAGAAAAAAAATGGACAAAATTCTGTGTAGCGGTTTTTTCAAAATTATATACCACCCTTACAATCTAAATGTATATATCTAATGTGGAATTAAATTATCTATTTAATTAACATACATTTATGGACAAATATTAAGTTGTCACAATTACCAGAGTATTTGGTATTAATTTAGAAGATATATGTAAGAAAATTCGAGATTGGAACTGTATAGGAAACAAAAGAGAATCCTGTTTTGTTCCGGTTTCTTTCGCTATACTTATTTCTTTTGTGATCTCTACTGCGCGTTCTAGTCTGGCTTTATATTCTTCAACTAATAGTTTGATCAGGTTAATATATTTTACTGGTAGCACATATTGTCCCCAAAATTTTCAACATTTGTTGTTTAGATCGTTCTGTGGTGATCCAGTGGTTAAAGGATTAACCTATTTACATCGCTTACAGGGGACGCCCGGTTGCTTTAAGGGACGAACTCTAAACCAATCTACCAAATTACTTTTAAAATTATTTAGTCTTTTACATTACGTCATTTTTACTAAATTGCTTGCAATGTTGTAAAGAAGTTTTTGTATATATTATTTCAATGTGTTTTATCTATTTTATTTTATCTACCTTCCCTGGTTAACTCAGAGGTTTAATTAGAATTAATAAGAATTTCTTAGTTGAAAAATTCTTGTTCTATAGAAATTTGTTATGTACGGCAATAAAAAAGATAATAAAATTTAAAAATATACTTATAAATAATATATTACTACGTTTTGTCCGTAAGAGTAAAGCAAGTTCAAAATAAATCAGAAAAAGTATAACAATACAAACCGACAAAAGTATCGCAGTACTACAGAAAAATAAAGCTTATAAAATATAAAATGTTTAGATATTGATAGCTATTTTCAGAAAGTTCGGTTAATTCCATATTCAACTAATGGCTCATTATTGGTAATCTTAGGCATTTTACTGTCGACCGTCTAAGCATATGCAACCAAACATACATATACTCGGTTCGCTGATCCCAGTCTCAACTGTCTAGCAAATTTAATAATTATTTTATCCTACGTTTATTTGAGCTATTAATAATGAGAGGTAGACATTTTTGTTTTATATGTTTCCGTTAATGAATGTCAAAATATTCCCAAGCTGAGTTAACAGACTATATAAATTAAATATTAAAATGGCAAATCGCCGGTTAACCCAATATCTGTTGACGTTATTAATTTATTAGTTGATTATTATTTATCGTAAAATAAAAATTTAAAGTAAGATCTTTTCTCCAACAGGTTGAGTAAGGATAAAATTAACGGAACTTTATGAGGCCAGCCATTAAAATTCTATACACAAATATAATAATAATTTTAACATCCATGTAACATTGACAAAGGCGATTTATTTACCTATACACTTGATATAACCTTTATTGGGTTTTAATTGCATCTAACATATTTATGGTACAGTGTGAAGCCAAAATTGTATGTCATTATGATAAGCCGTTTTGGTGAAATAAATTGTAGTGACAAGAAATTGGCTATGAAGCAAATAAGAGAACATTAAATGGTGATATGATGTCTTTGATTTTTAACATATTTGTTAAATATGAGGGAAAAACAATCGACCATACTCTGTTTTCTTAAATCATAAATGACACAAAAATTACTATATATTATAACAAATAATGAAAAAAAATTCAAGACACAGAAGATCATTACATTACTATCTATGTACTACTAAATATCGGATACAATGTAAGTTTTTTACTTTCTTTTCCACACTATGTTTTCGTATTATCGTCAATGTCCTTCCGATATACGTAGTATGCCGATGTCGATTGGTTTATTTTGATTTGACGGTAATATTATGTCTCTTTCTTGAAGTAATGTAACTCTTGCCATTTTTATGGCGTTTCAGTGACATACTAAAAATTATAAATAGGCGCCATTTTGTAAAATTATTCATGGGATCATATTTAATTTGAAAATTTGTACCAGTGACGTAATCTCATTTCAAGTTCTGTTGAACGAGACCTACACGATAAAAACTTTTTGATCTCATTTAACACTATCTTACTAAATAGCTCCCGTCGGTTAGGAGACTTTGAATGCGTAGTGTTATAATAAATTAATTTTGATGTTTTTGGGATGGAACTGATAATTATATGGGTTTCGTTGAGAAAAACTTAAAAGCTTTCAAATAAGGTATTACTTGCCATAGGATTCCCTGTTAAAATATTTTACAAAATGGATCTTGTTAACATTAGTGGGGTTCACAGTGGACTATAGTTATTATCTATCTTTAATGGAAACCTACCTTAGCCAGAGAGGAGTACTAAACGAATAAGAGCAGACCAATTAATATCCACACGATCAACCTACACATTTAATAATGGAAGACAAATTGTTCAACACAAATAGAGTTTATAAAGTACTAACACAAATCCGTCCATACCATCATCTACCATACCATAACAATAGCATCTATTCTGATACCTACTATAAGTAACATATAATATAATGGACTTACGAGATTACCAATTATCAAGGTGACAACACTGTAGGAATTTTGTTAAATAGTTCTAGTGTATGTGACTGAGGAGTTTAAGAGAGGCTTATGTTCAGCAGTGGGCGTGACAAATGAAGGCTGGATGATGATGATGTGCGTGAGGAATATAGACAGTGAAAGAACAAAATAGAGAAAGACAGAACGAGAGAGAGAGAGAGATACAAGTTCCATACGAAAACACATCTTTCTTTGACAATACTTACAGGGTGATCGTTTCTGGATTTTTTGAGAACAAGAGCCGTATGTTAGGAACAGGTTATTCAATATACGTGCTTGAATAGTACTAAAAATTGGTGTGAAGTGGAATTTATTTGAAAATCCAAAAGTGCAAATAGTCGCATTTACCTGAACTATGGATACACAGCACTTAACTAAATTCTACACAAGAGTCAGTGCAGCAGCCGATCTCCCTATTAACCTCGCAAGTTAATACGAAGCTGTTCGTGATATCCATCTTGCTAATATCCTGAAAAACTATGCTGACAATTTTTACATCCGTCTGGTTTATATTTGATAAAACCTAAGACGCCACAGAGAAACAGTTTTAGAAAAATTATAAACCATTATTTGAACTCTAGAAGAGTTCAAATTTTTCATATGTTTGGAGTAAAAGTTGACCAGTTTTTCTTTTTACCTCACTTCATTTAAGAAATCAATAATAAACAACGAACGATCTTGATGTTTTGCGAATTCACTATGATTTTAATCAGAATCACTATTCTGCAATCTTCATCTCATGAGCTGTTAATGTTATATTAGCTCTAGATTGCTAATTACTTATCCTGCATACCCTTAAAGCAGGATATTGTATGTAAACACAGGGCGTTGTTTCAAAAACTTGCTAGGTATCAGGAATTAGAAACGCTTAAGAATACAGTAAGACAAAGTCGCCAAAAAGTAACAATGGCTCGCCACGATCGTTTAATTGTCCAATTATTTAGAGAGACCCAACAATTTCTCACCCACAGACAACTTTGGAAGCTACAGGTTAAGTATTTCAGTTGAAACGATAAGAATAAGATTTCGTACCAAAAGAATATACAGCACTAGACAGTTATGATCGTATTCACGAGGTAGGAGAGGATATGGGCATTAAAATCAAACAAAACAAAATTTTTAGTGTTAGTCGTGACCACATCCCGATGCAAAACTTCAATTAAACGGAGTCCAAGTTAAGAAAGTTCACAAAATGACATAATTAGGAACTGTGATAACGGAAAAACTAGATCCAGACATAGAAATAAAACGTAGAATAGCAATCACTAAAACTACTTTAGTGATTGCTACTACTTTAGCCAGACTAAAATGGAGATGGGCAGGACACATAGCCAGAATGACAGATGGGCGATAGACAAAGAGGTTATTGGAATGAAGGCCAAGGGAAGACAAGAGAAGCGTCGGTCGACCACCTACAAGATGGACTGACGATTTGAGAAGACTCAATAAAAACTGGATAAGAGCGGCGCAAGATAGACGGGGTTGGAAACACGAGGAAAAGGCCTATGTTCAGCAGTGGACTCTTGAGGCTGGATGATGATGAAAACTACTTTTATGAAAATGAAGTCATTTCTTTGCAATAATCATCTCAGTTTAGAACTAAGACAAAGAATGGTTAAGTGCTATATTTGGTCCGTACTTTTGTATAGTGCAGAAGTGTGGACGCTAAAAATATCGATCATGAACAAAATTGAAGCATTAAAAATGTGGGTTCATAGACGAATGCTGAAGATACCTTGGACAGCAAGGAAAACGAATGAAGGAGTACTAAGGAGCGCCAACAAAGATAGAGAACTGCTAAAGACTGTTAAACATCGAAAAATGTCTTATCTGGGACATATAGTAAGGGGAAGTGGATATAAAATATTACAACTGATCCTTAAAGGCAAAATAGAGGGCCGTACAGGTGTAGGAAGAAAACAAGTTTCTTGCTTAAAAAACATTCGTGAATGGACTAAAATATCCATATATATTGCAGAAGATCGAGAAGCCTTCGCAATGGTAATCGCCAACGTCGGATAATTTTGATATGGCACGCGAAGAAGAAGACAGTTATGGGTTCCCGAGTTATTCAAGCAGCTTGATCGCCTAAATTGGTGTCTTCAACACAAATGCGCTGGCAGATGCACGAGTATGCAAGCCAATAAATAGGAAAAAAGTAGATGTCAAGGTTATGTTCATTGCATGAAATTCATATATAACCTAAGTTTGGTTGTGTGTAGATTGAAATAGTGAATCAAATTAAGCAGAGCGCTGCCAAATATGCCGAAAGTTACAATTGGATTCTACAACTCTGTAATTCTTTTTGGAAACTATGTACCTATAATTTGCATAAATACAGAGTAAGACCGATTGTTCTTTTAAAAACAGGAGACGTCAATTTTTGAACATTTTTAAATAATAAACTCTATCCTTTATTGTTTGCCCAAAAAATATATTGGAATGACGACAATCCTTAGTTATTCGACTTAGTCCAATAGAAATTTCAACGCAAATTTTCTGTCAAAGTAGATGAATTTAGAGATAGAAACTAAAAAGAATGTATACCATAGAAATGACGATAAAGTTCTATAAATTAATATATTAAATCACATGTAGCAGCATTGACCAAAATAAAAAAAGTAAAAATGTCTACTTCAAAATAAAGTATCAAATAGCCAATTTTGCAAATTAATATATGTCATAATTGCCGTATCCTGCTTTTTCAAATGTCTTTCACAACTATGTCTAGTAAATACTAATAATGTATATACTAAATATAAGTAGACTATCCAAAGAATATATGTGTTTAAGATATTAGCAAACTATTTTGTTTAAAAATGACCAATAATATCGAACATACAAATAATTTTAAATATTACTGTAAAAAATCATCTATTTTTTAATGTAATTCGGCTATCACATATGACTCAACGAATAAGAAATCTGGCGAAATCCACGTTTAGAATTAAAAATGAACTGGTTTCATGTTTCCTTTGTGAATTTAAGTAGCTTCGACCTATTGGTTCGAATATTGTCTCAAGATATAAATTTCAGTCTTCAGTCTGATAGCCAAGCGGGCTGGGCGGCCGGTTCTCATTCGCTTCACTGCGAATGGTTCAGTGGATATGGGTTCGAGCCCCAGCTCGGTGTACAGAAAAATAAAAAGGCTAACGCAGCAGCTTAAAATTCTAGATGAATCTGCGGCTTAGACTAGAATATGCTGGTGTCTGATCGGCCTATGATGGAGCAGTACGGCAAGAGATAAGGGCTTGCGGCTCGGTGATACTTCTTCATAGATCCCTACCGGAAGGGCGTGCCGCCTAAATACCGGTATATACATATATATATATATATATATATATATATATATATATATATATATATACCATGGGTGGTGAATCGTCAAACGGGCCATAGGAAACTCAATGGGAAATTTTAAATTGATGAATTCCTGCTTCCCTAATTATTTTAGATCAAATGTCATAAAAAACTTTTTGTAGATGACTAAAATCTGAATTAAAAACAAATGTTAAAACCGTTCTACGAATTAAAGGTACTACAAAATTTTGCAAAAATATAAGCTAGGCCACACGTATAGCAAGAATGTATATTATGACGTGTGTGATTTATCATATGGATGTCAGATGTTCCACAATATTTAAATTGTCAATTTTTTTAAATTTTATGATTAAATTATAAACAATGAATTTTACTAGATACTACTACTACTGAACAACAAATATTACTTTGTGAATAATAAATTATATTGTTTACAAATCACTAAATATAATGAAATGTACTTAGTTGACGAAAAATCGCATACTGTTGTATTTAGGCAATAGTGGGGACCTTTATTTTGTCTAAGGTGCGAGCACTACCAGATCTTTATTTAACGTGAGATATTCTAATACACTAAAATTTAATTCCAAGTTATAAAACAATTCAATGAATTCCAATATAGTGTTACTGTGGTCCTTATTCCTAAAAATAATTTATGCTAATTTCTAAACACAAAACTATAACAAATGTTATAATAAAACATTTTTATTATTGCCTTTTCTTCTCAACTGCGTACATTTTTTAATCAACTTAATTTTTTTAAAGAGTAGATCACAAAATAAAAATGTTGACCATTTAAATCGTAGATAAATATAATATATTTGATTTAAATATTGTCAAATATCCGAAATATCAATATGAAAAAAGGCAACACGTAATACACATTTTTTCACGGCGTCTGGCCTGACTTTTAGGGGTGGCCTGAAAAATGTAATATATTTTTGCAAAATTTTGAAATACGTTTAAATCGTAAAACAATTTTAACATTTGTTTTCGATACATATTTGAGTCCTCTACAAATAGTTCCCTATGACTTTTGGTGTAAAATAATTAGGGAAGCAGGAATTCAATAATTTAGAATTTCCCATTGAGTTTCCTATGGCTCGTTTGACAATTCACCACCCTGTATATATATATATATATATATATATATATATATATATATATAATATATATATATATATATATATATATATATATATATATATAAAGTAAAAAAAGATTGCATTTCATTTCAATCGGAACTTCACCATTGCTCGACACGTGTTTCGAGTTATTCAACCCATCGTCAGGAGCACTTGTGAAAGTTCAACTGAAATGAAATGCAGTCTAGTATTTAGTCATTATAACCAAAATAACAGCCAGAGTACGCTAGCAGCGACATCTATACGAAATAACAAGAAGTCGACAGATCTCTCCGGTAGCAAATTAGGTGAACCGCAAATTCAAAGCCTCTTGCTAGAGGCTTTTAACGACGCTAGAAGTATCCTTTTACTTCGACATGCATCTACGATTCACCTTTGAAAATTACCATCTTTTTCGCTCTTTACGTAGAGAAAGACGTTTAAATGGAAGTAAAAGATTGCATTTCATTTCAATCGGAACTTCACCATTGCCCGACACGTGTTTCGGGTTATTCAACCCATCGTTAGGAGCACTTGTGAAAGTTCAACTGAAATGAAATGCAGTCTAGTATTTGGTCATTATAACAGCCAGGGTACGCTAGCAGCGACATCTATACGAATTTGCGGTTACCCTAATTTGCTATCCGAGATGTCTCTCGACTTCTTGTTAACGTTAACATAAGTATTATTCATTTTTATATATTTCTGTCGAAAAATATTCGAATCTCCTTCATAACTTCGAGCCAAAACATTTCACCGAGCTGTACCACTGGACCACCAACTTCTACGGAACGTAATCAGTAACCCTTTGCGAACGTGCCATACCAACCATACCAATGCAATTACCAACGGGAACGGTCTAATTCGTAATAGTATAAGGTCTAATTTCGTTGTATTTTATTGTAGTTGAAAATAGATTAACCCTTTCAGTTTCACTTAAAAAAAAAGATCCCACATAGTATATTTGTCTCCCCACAGGGATAACTTTTTCTATAATATTAAATGAACGGATTGTGTTTTTTGAGCGCTGAAAACACATTGTAACTTGCAACGGATAACCTTTCTAAAGCATTTAAAAGACCGCGTACGCCTATGGGTGTAGTTCAAACGACCTCCGATTGACATACGTCATCTGTTTTGGGTATATTTGCTATGGTGTGAACCTTGTGCATAAATAGTTACGTAGAAATCTGGTTTTTTGATAAATAATAAATTAAAACTGTAATATTGTCAAGTTGGTAAGTATAAGAGATAGTATTGCTATACTTGTCAAAAGTTTTGCATTGAAAGATAGTGTGGTGTTTAAAGAGGGGGTATTTTGTTATGTCGCTGTGCAGGGACAAACGAACTTTATGTTTAAATAAATAATGCATCAATGCTATACTTTTTATTAAGTTTTTAAAAATTGTATGAATTTTTATGATTTAGACCTTTCGACTTAGATATTCGTTACTAGTTATGGTATCTTTTTTATTTCTGAAAATGTCGAAAAACAAAAAGACCCCTACTAAACAGGAACTTTTGTACAATTTAGAAAATAATGATGACTGTTCCGTTGTTGTCTGACGAAGAGTCTGACCATGAAGAAGACATACAACTGTCAAAGATAACATTTTTTCAGAAATGTTGCAGATGATGAAGAAAATAGAGAACTAGAAGAAAATGTTGATGATCTAAAACAGGAAATAGAACACTTTCACAAAATATATCGCCTCACTGAAAAATCTAAAATTAAATGGATTAATAATGTTACAGATGAAACAAGACGTATTAAGTGGTATAAACCTATTCCAAATCCTGTTTATGTAATACCTCCTCCTATTTTTTTTTTTCATGGAGTATTAGGATGATTTCACGCAATTGATCTGGCTTTAGTGAATTCATGGCTAGAATACAAACGCCAAGCTCTTGCATTAGGAATCAACAAAAACAAGATAAGTGATCTTCTGGCATTTCGCGAAAGTGTAGCAGAGCATCTAATACTATTTAAAAATCCTCGTAAGAAAGGAGGACCAAGTGACACAGAATCGCAAGTTGAAGCAAAAAAAAAGTGTGAAGCAAGACTTTTGTAGAAATGAGATATGACGGCTAGAATCTTACTCCCAATATGGACGAAAAAAAAAAAGATAATTCTATAGATACAAATTGGATAGGTGCAAAAATAAGACTCATATATTTTGTTCCAAATGTGAAGTTCATATGTGTCTTATGAAGGTAAGGAACCGTTTCTCAAAATTTCATTCAAAATAATGTTTGTTTTATTATTTTTATGTGAAAAAGTATTTCTAGCGTGAATAAAGTTTTGTATTCTTTTTATTCAACAAGACACAATGTCCCTTCAGAAAACTACTGAAGATTATGAACACGGTACTTTTACGAATAATAATCTTAGAATGGTGAAAAATAAAGTAAGTAAAATAAAAAATATAATTTTTTCTTCAAAAAATAACGGATGTATATTTTAGGGGTACTTATGTTAATTTCCTTCTTCTTCTTCTTTGTGTGCCGTGCTTGTATTCAAGCGTTGGCTATCGTCATATTGACAAGCTGATGAAATGATTCTCGGTCGGCAGCTAGATGAAACAGTTCCTCGAGCGTTCGACCTGTCCACTGTCTAATGTTACGCAGCCAGGACAGTTGTTTTCTTCCGACCCAACGTTTTGAACGTTGAATGATTAACCGGAGTAAGCGATATTTAGGTCCTCTCATTATATGACCGAAGTATTGGACTTTTCCCATTTTGATGATGTTGATCAACGCTCGCTCTTTGTGCACGGTCTCTAGCACACGTTCGTTAGATGTGTGTGCTGTCCACGGGATTCTGAGCATGCGACGGTAACACCATAGCTCAAACGCTTCTAATTTGTTAAGATTTTTTATTTTTGTTGTCCAGGTTTCACATCCATAGAACAAAGTAGACCAGACGTAGCACTTCAATACTCTTAGATGTGTGGTCAACGACAGACTTCTACTGCATAATACAGAACGCCAATTAATAAAGTTTTTCCGTGCAGTTGTCAGGACAGAGTTAAATTTGACGAATGTGAGAAAACTATTCGAATGATGCGAAAGTTGTATGGAGACAAATATATCCGAAAAATCAGTTAAAATAATGGTTGGATCGGTTTAAAAAGCACAGTTGTTTGTCTGCGCGCGAAGTAGAAAGTTATCACAGAATTTCGAAAATTTGTGTTTCGATAATTCTAACCGAGAATTTCCTGTTCTAACCTGTTTACGGCATAGCAGAAAAAGATCCGCTTAGAAGTCGCTTGGACAACATAAAATATGTAATCACCAACAATTTAAATTTGCTTAAACAGATCAGTATCGTTGGTGAGTCGTAGGTTTATAGTTGTGAATCCAAAATAAAAGAACCGTCTTCACAATGAAATTTTTCATCATCATGCAATATGAATACGCAATGTCATAAACTCAACAATCAATTTTACGTTCAAACTCTTAAACAGATTGCATGACGCAGTGAAAAGAAAACGGTGTAATTTTTTGTACAATAATGTAATGTTTTGTACAATAGTTTGTGGCAAAACGTAAAATTATACAAATTAGCCAGTCTCCGTACAGCTCCTACATAGCACCCTGTGACGTTTTCGTGTTGTAAAACTTAAGATGTGTCTTAATTGTTTCTATAAAGTGTATGGAAGCGATTTAAACGAATGCGATGATATGACCAAAGCCATTACAAAAATTGGATTTTAAAACATTAAAAATTTTAAAATTTAGTGACTTTAAAGCACGGCGGGAAGGTGTTGAATAGGAATCACTTTAAAAAATATCACGAGGTGAATGACGAAGAATAACGCATTTTGAAGTTGTGAACGAACTTTGGACAGTTTTAAGACGTACCTCGTATTACGATTACTCTTTATTTCTTTTTTCTAATGTTTGTGGATGAGACCTTTTGTAAAAACCGATGACAATCACCATTTTTCTTTATTGCGTATTTCCTCAGACTATAGAATAATTGATATTATCATGTTGACTTATATGGTTCAGAGGACATCCTTTTCTTTCTCTCTCTCATATGTGCATATTTGGATAATGATTGGATCTATTATTGCCCAAGTACGTTTTTTTCCTAAACTCATATGTGTTTGTTCTCTGAGAAGGACCTTGAAACTCTATCTGGATGAAGCTTATGAGTTGGCAAGTTTCATATAAATACAAATTATAATAAAAAAAAATAAATACTTTGGTTAGTCTACTACATATTAAAAAAGGTACAAAAGTAAGTGAACAGTGAAAATGTATTAAACGTGCTTACCTTACGTATGATCATTTAAAATTACATAAATGAAACATTACTTACACTTAACCTGTCGTTTTCCTAACTCAGTCGATTCTTTGGAATAAAGTAAAATCACATGTATTATACATATTGAAAAGTGTCTTTATGTCTAAGAAGAGGTTGTTGTTCTATGTTTTTATCCAAACTGAAACTCGTCAGCCAATCTTTCTGTTCTGGTTTCGCAATGCCAAAACAAGAACATTCGAAAAACTCAATAAGATTCATGAGGGGTCCCTTCGTAAAAGGACTCTTTCCTCCGTTTGATATGAAATGTGCGTATCGTCCTCGGTTCATTCTCTCGTTTGTAGTCATACCGAGACACGTTATCTAAAAAATATATTACTATCATTACTGACATCCTATATAATGGGGCAAATTGAAATAGATGTATAACAAATTCAGGGTTTGAGTGTTAATTTATTATTTTTCTTAATAGCTATGATGTTAAGATCTAGATCTGCTAGAATGTTAAATAAGCAATAATTTAAATGATAACTAATCACAAAACGTAAGTTATATTGTTTTATATAATCCGCATAATATATTAATGTCATAAGGATCATCAACATATGTAAAAAATGGTGACAACTAAATAATGGGACAGTATGAAGTAACTGCTAACAACTATACAAGATAAGACAGATAAGATTAGGCTGCGAAAATCGTGCAGCCCTACACTCTAACGAATGTCATAATATATATTCTACCATTAATTTCTTGTCAAATTGAGTGAATCACTGTTTTATTTCAATAAAATGGTGCCTGGTATCTCTATCAATTCAAAAATTGGTGAGTTGGTGATTAAAAATTATTGCCGCAATAAAACAATACTTGAAATAACATTCCTAAAACTACAGTATATAATTAAGCATTACGAGGAAACATAAAGTATCTTAGATAAAAAAGGTAAAAGCCCATGTCGTTCAAAACTAGTTTCTTATAGGAATCGGTGAATATTAGTAAACGTTTGCAGTTTGCAAAAAAGTTGGAAACATAAATATGGATTCAGCTTTTATAAGCTACAGGTAACTACTTAAAAGTGTACTCGTAGTGTATTTTAACAAATTTTCTTCTGAGCAAAGGAACAGTTACTGTTAACAGCAAAACAAATGCAAACCAAGCTCATTTGTTCACAATCTAAACTTTCTTGGTCGCTAGAAGATTGGCTCTCAGTAATTTTTAGTAAGAAATCAAATTTTGGCGTATGTGTTAATGATTACCAGAAAAAAGTTATTCACACTAAGCACGAGGCTTTTCACAAAGATTGTTTGAAGCGAACCGTAAAATTTCCTAAATGAGTGATATTTTGGGGTTGGATAATTCTTGATGTATAGAAACGGATGGCTGTAATTCGGGCATTTTCATTTCGGGAGTTGTTCAAAATTAAATTTCCTATCGAACTGTTACCTTGTAAAGTCAAAAATATTTTTTTGACAAAAATATATTAAAAAAAACGAATCAAAAAACACAAACACACGCGATTTTTATTTTTTGCCCCATAACTTTTTTTTATGGGGGTATACGTATTGGAATTGATTTACAGAAAAAACTATTATCCTTCCTCTTCAAGATTACGGTTGTTAAAAGTATTTAGGATTTACAGTATCCCAGATACGATTATTTCAAAGTTCACCACTCACACCACTTTTTGGATATTTTCCCTATTTTTTCGCAAACATTGTTCTACAACTTTTTTCTATGCCGTTTTAGGTATATGCAGTGGTATTTTAATTGAAAGAAAAATTAATTACCTTTAAAATATTCTACAGTAGAAGGTTCTAGGACTAATTTTAAGCAAGATACGGTTTTTCAAAGTTTTAAACTTTTAACGATTTTTGCTGTTTTTATTTTGTACATTTAGGTATATGTATTACTAAAAAGAAAGCTCTGTCTGTACTATAAAATGGTCTATTGCAAAATATTCTAGGACTAACTGTAACCAAGACATGATTTGGTAAATTGTTATGTTTACAACGATTTGTAGATACCTAAATGTACATGGAAAACAATCTCCAGTCGCAGTCGTCAGAAACGAAAATGGCATTGAACCTCTAAAAATCATAGGAACAAGTTGAATTTTGCTGAGAATGTCAATTTTAAGACCTTAAAAAATATGCAACCAATTTTTCCACTCCTACACCAGGACTTCGCCCTAAAACAGCCCCTCGAAGGGGAAGAGGAAACAAAGTCATCGAATGACCAAGAATCTGTAGGCTGTAGAAAAAAAGGTTTCAAACAAAAAATGTAGCTGAGATAATGTTGAACAAAAATGGTTACTAGCACTTTTTCTATAAAATAAACAGTTTTCTCTCAGAAACAACACTTGAACCTACCGGCGATTTTAAATGTGTTTATTACCCGTGCGAAATCAATTTTTTAAATATAATTTGACTCTATTCGGCGGTAAAAATTCGATAGCTTTTGATCAGAATGTCCTATCGACAAAAACTAAAATGGGTTTTAAAGATGAAGAGGACAGCTTTAGTACGTAATTTTTTCATTTTGCCGTAAATATCAAAAATCGTCAAAAATATAAAACTTTGAAGAACCGTATCTTACTTAAAATTAGCCCCAGAGCCTTCTACAGTAGACCTAAATCTGCGTATAAGAGTTAAAACAGAATAGTTAGTTAAAATAGAATAGATAATTAGAATAGAACAATTTGTGAGAAAAAAAATAGGGAACATGCCAAAAATTGTTTGAGTGGCAAACTTTGAAAAATCGTATCTTGGATACTGTGAATCCTACAGACTTCTACCAAATAATAGTTTGAAGAGAAAGGATTAAAATTTTTTTCTGTAAAGCAATGCCTATACCTATAACCCCGTGGAAAAAAAGCTATGGTGCAAAAAAGAAAAATCGCGTGGATTCCTGTTTTTTTTTTTGCTTTGGTTTTTTAATATATTTTTGTCAAATTTAATTTTTACTAGCTTTTCTGTAGATGTTTTCAAAAACGCATGGTTTTTGAGAACGGCGCTCTATGTTTTTTTTTCATATTTGGTGGTCCATTGACCATATTAAACAATAAAACCCCTTTAACGTTGTAGTTCCTTTCTAAAGTACATAATCAATAGCCTACTGTTTGGAGATGATTTTGGCAAGTCTGAAGCTGAATCGAAATTACGAGGGCCATTCGTGAAATAAGGTACCGATGAATTTTAAAAATAGGCAGCTGTATTTTTGTTCTTAGTGTTATATAATAATTTTAAAACATAGTCTATTTTTCCGCCAATAGAATTGTACCACCAATCCTTTGAGGAATCGAGTAACCTCTTCCTTGACTTCATCACTGGAAGTGAAGCGTAAACCACCCAAGTGTTCCTTTAATTTTGGGAATAAGTAATAATCACCTGGTGCTAGGTACCACGCGACTCGGCTGCGGACTGTAGGGCGGGCTCAACAGGGGTTTAGTATGTTTGAAACGTTTTATGATCTAATGTCACAGTAATATATATAAAGAATAGCACATTATTTTTATTAATTAAATCATATAATCAAAAATTTTATTATCTTCGGAAAATCCGAATTTTATTAAATAAACTTCTAAAATAATACCAAAAAAAAAATTATTCCATAAGTAATATCTACACTGTATGAAATAAATATACAGTATAGAAAATCTATATAAAAATATTTCCGTTTCGTTTTTAGTTTAACTTTTACTCATATTTCGAGTGTACAATTAACTCTTAACAGGAACAATAATTAAATTCACTCTACTCTTACCTGATACATCTGACAAACAAATAACATAAAAACCCAGATGGAGTGGAACAATGCGTTTACAGCCACCCATGCAACCCAAGTATTGCATTGTCCTATTGTTACAACTGACTTCCAAAAACTATCACTGGTTGAAGTTATATTGCAATCTGGAGCATTCTGCCAATATTTAACTGATCCATATAATAATTGAAGACACATTATAACCAAACTTGCCAAAAACCCGATAAAGTGTTTATGGTTTTTGGCTCCTAAAACAGCAAAAAATATATGACAATAAAACAGTATACCCAGATACATATAAACAGTATTTTTTCTACTCGTATATTATTAAGATGTTCATCAAAGTGAAAACATACTTAGAATATATTACAAAACATTATAGGTATTCTTGTATCAAATAAGGCTCCGCAATGGCTGCTTGAAAATGTAGACAATCGATTTAGTATTAACTACCTTTTGACGAGACGCTAAAACCAAGATCCCTTGGAGAATTTTTTGGGGTCATAAAAGGTGGGGGCGAAATGTGGTTTAAACGGTCATTAAACTTCTTTGCTATTACTTTCTTTTTCTGATTACTATAACGTAGAAGGTGATGGTACTCCTACATTAATTATGAGCGGTAGTTTTGTAAAAAAACCTTTTTTTCAAAAACAACAATCATTGACACCAATCCTACGGATGAAGATGACATAGTCTTCTGTAAAGAACTCAATAATTTAGTCAATGATGGACTAGAACATTTGGGAGGATTTATTTGTAGCAAGCTTAAAGCAAGTTACCAGATTTTAGTAACCAAAGTTCTAAGTCTAACACCCGTGAGGCAATCATTTGACAAAAGGTGAAATACGTAAATATTCTAACGTATTTATGGCTCATTTTGAAAAACTAGAACAAATTTTTCATGGAAATACCATATTTACTACCAAACAATATATTTCAGGTCTGTTGTCCTCGTGTTAATATTGATTGTCTTCAAGATGCTAAGAAAGTATTTTTTCGGTAGCGTGTGAACTTTCGTTTAAAAGATTTTAATAAATGATAAATGATTTATATTTTAAATGTAAATTTTTATTAACGTGTATATAATGTATAAGAATATTAACGAGATCGTAATATTTGACGGTTGTTTTAAGTATTTAAATTTAATTATATATCCACCAATTATGTATATAAGTGATGGATTCGACCGTTATTTGATGGAAGTTTATTTTATCAAGCAATAAAACACTGATAACTTTTGTGTTCAACACTTCCACAAAATTTACTCTAATTTATTATCATTATAGCTGTTTCAACAAAGTGCCTTTCTCATTTTCTCAAGTGAAGGCTTGGGAAAGGCAGTTTCTTCGACCAAAAATGGCTAAGTTAAGTTTCTTTAAAATGTACAAAATAGTGAATTTTATACTATTTTAAAACCTGCAAAATACATTACTAATAATGAAAAATATTTACCTATGCAGTTGGCTACCCACGGACAATGGTGATCGAATCTGGCAACGCAATGGTTACATACAGCACAATGTTTTGATCTTAACGGCCTTCTTACTAGGCATGCTGAACAAAATGAGGATGGTTCAAAACCTCCAGGACCTCGTTCAGCTAACTCAATTATTGTCTAAAAATTATTAATATAATTTCAATTATTAAGCGTACAAAAAAAGCAGGGAAGACATTTAAGAACACAATAAATAAAAATATGATCTATTATTAAAGAAAGTTTCATGACACCAAGTATTTGTAAGTAATCGTTTAATGTCTTACATTATAATATTTAGGAACCAACCGTGGTCCAATAAGAAAAAATTCCAAACTTAATATAAATAGCAAAATGATTACAACCCACAAAAAAACAAGTAAACTGAAGGCCAATTATGAAAGTGAAACTTAACAATAATGTAAACATAAAAAACAAAAATAGAATTGCTTTTGTGACTGATATGCATGGTCCGAAATTAGAATGAGTTACAAATGATTTGTTATTTAACAATGATCCATCCAAAATTACACTCCCACATTTGCCGTATCGCTTTTACTAAAACAACTTAGATAATATTGTTTCTAATAGAACATCCTCACTAGTGAATTGGCAAATAAACAGTAGTTACTGCAAACGTATAAGCATTTTTTTTTAATCTTGGAGACCGCTCTCGGCTAAAATTAAATGATTCACCTATATTGATCCGCTAATTTAGGGCTACATTTGCACAATACCTCTTTAGAAGGCAGCGCGACCACACACACTACGTGGAGCAGTAAACGCAGTCTCATGTGTGTTTCTTATTAAAATTAAAAAATATAAACAAAATTAATTTATTAAATCCATAGACATTAGTCATTCAACAAGTTGCAATAGATTCTCTAATCAGACAAATATATAGCGGCACAGCTATCATTATCAAATCAAATATAAAACATCACGACAGCTGCAGTCTACTATCCACATGGCCAATCAATTAACGAAAATAACTTTAATATCTACTTTAGTTCCATTGGACACAATTCATAGCAGGGGGAGACTTCAACTGCAAAGATCAAAACTGGGGTTCTAGGGTAATTACAACAAGGGGTAGACAACTCCTCAGATCAATAATGGGAAACAATCTACAATATATATCTACAGGACAACCAACTGATTGGCTTACAGATCCAAATAAAATACCAGATCTCTTAGATTTCTGTATGATTATAGGTATATCTCTTAATTATTGTGCAATAGAATCATGTTGAGACATTTCGTCAGACCATTCTTCCATTCTAATTGACATAGACTCCAAAGTCATACTCAGAAGTAAGCCTCCAGTCCTAACCAATAACCAAACAAACTGGAACATATTTCGAAGTACACTTACAGAAAAAATAACAATGAAAACATAAATACAAATTGAAAACGCTGTACAATATCTTACTACTTCCATACAAAAGACAGGATGGAGTGCTACTCCTGAATAGACAATATGGAAGGAAAGCATAAATTGTTCTCCGAGTACAAAAAATTGAAGAGAAAAGAAAACTTAGGAGAAAGTGGCAAAACACAAACGCACCTATTGGCAAAGCAAAACTAAACAGAATTAGCAGAAGACTTAAAAATCTGTTATTATGGAAAGCGACGAAAAAAGTAAGGGCCACAAGACGCCATACCTCCTTTAAAAAATGCCAAAGGTAAATGGGGAAGAACAGATACAGAGAAATCCGAGACATTTAGAGTATTTAATCCATCTGAGTATTTAGTCCATTTAAAGGAGTAGTGCCTCTAGAACAAGAAGAACCACTTTATTCTTTTCTTGACGCTCCATATCAAATGGAACTACAAATCTCCCAATTTAAGATTAAAGAAGTAAAACAGATAATAAAAAATTAGGTAAAACCCAATAAGGCACCGGGATACGACCTAATTACAGGTAACGCCCTTCAAGAACCTACCCATGATTGCTACAGAATAATCACTACGTCTACACTACTTCCCTTTACAATGGAAAGTGGCACAGATTATATTCATTCAAAAACCTCGCAAAGATCCAAAAGATGTCAACTTATACCGACCCATTAGTCTGATATCAGTCATTTCTAAGGTGTTTGAAAAACTTTTGTTAAGAAACATCAAACCAATATTGGACAAAAAGGGTCTTATACGTGATAATCAATTCGGATTTCGTAACCAAGACGCTACAATAGAACAAGTTCACAGATTATACACAACAATAAGAACTACTCTCGAAAACATTTGCTTGCAACATTTGCAGATGATACTGTTTTCCTAACATCTCATAGTCATCATCATCAATCAGCCAAACGCGTCGACTGCTGGACATAGGCCTCCCTCAGTTCTTTCCAGTGTTCTCTACACTGGGCCGCTTGTAGCCAGTTTCCCGCTACACGCTTTATATCATCGGTCCATCTAGTCGGTGGTCGTCCTCGGCTTCTTTTATAGTTTCTGGGCCTCCATTCCATAATACGTCTTATCCACCGTCCATCTTGTGTTCTGGCTAAGTGCCCTGCCCAGTTCCACTTAAGCGTCGTGGTTCTTTCGATGACGTCTTGAACTCCTGATCTTTGCCTGATTTGTTGGTTTGTTATGTGGTCTCGAAGGTTCACGTTCAGCATTGCACGTTCCATGGCTCGTTGTGTAACTCTGAGTTTATTCGCAGATTTTTGCGTGAGTGTTAAAGTCTCTGCTCCATAAGTTTGTACAGGCAAAACACATTGGTTATAAACCTTTCGCTTGAGACACATGGGAATTGAACTTTTTAGAATATAGCTTAATTTGCCAAATACTGCCCATGTTAGGCCTATTCTCTTCTGTATTTCATGTGTTTGATTGTCTCTGCTTATTTTGATTTGGTGTCCCAGATATTTGTAAGAAGAAGATGTGGAAGATAGACTTACTTCAGGGATGCGATCCTGCTCTACGCGAGCCTTGATTCTCTCTTAACTCCTGTGGAGAGAAATCATGTCCTAACCCCACTCCTACCCAATACCTACTATCCTACCAATTTCCCACACCAACTCACCAACCCGCCTGACAAGCGTGGTGTTTAAATGCCAAAACCCCTCAGCATGAACAAACATCTCATAGTAATCCAGCAATAACATCAGAGATACTGCAACTCAATCTCAAACTCTGGAGAATTAAAGTAAACCATTCAAAATCTAAACATATTACATTTACTCTAAGAAGAGGTATATGTCCACAAGTTAACCTCGATGGGCATACTTTACTCCAAAAGGATGACGTAAAATATCTAGGCATGGAAAAAGGATTAACATGGACCAAATATATATGCACGAAAAGACTACAACTAGGAATTTTATACAGAATACTTTACTGGATGCTGGGAAAAAAATAACACCTATTGATCAACAACAAGCTGCTGATATACAAAGTAATAATAAAACCTGTTTGGTCATATGGTTCGCAGCTATGGGGATCAGCTAACAAATATAATGTTATGAAAATACAAAGATTTCAATCTAAAACTCTAAGAATAATCGCTAACGCCCCTCGGTATACCCAGAATGACGCCATACATAGAGATCTGCAGGTACTAGCAGTCTCGAAGAGTGCAAAAGAATTTCTGAACAATATCAAAACAGGTTGAGCGTGCTCCTAAGACCCTGGCATACAATCTTTTCAACAACCAAGCTAAGATATTGAAGCGATATGATTCCTTGGAGACCTCACGAAAGTAAACGACCAAGAGGATGACAGTAAAAGAATAGCCGGAACAAATTGGAAATATGTTGCTCAGGATGGAGTCCGATGAAAGGAGCTGGGAGAGGCCTATGTTTAAACATGGACGATAGAAGGATAAAAAGAACAAGAAGAAGAAGACCAAATCGTTCCTAACAGTGGCTACAGTAGGAGTAGCTACGCCTTCAACAGCGTCCAACAATTGTGATCTGTGCCGCTTTTAGTATTCGTGTTCGCGTATCTGTGTATGTGCGCATCCCACCGGTAAACAAGCCAATATTCTGATGCTTTAGTCACTGAACCTTGCTTCTCTCTGTATTTGTCAAGAGAATCAATTTTACTTACTAAGCGAGAAACGCTTTTATTGTGAAACAGATTGTAAAAAATCTAGAATTTTAATAAAAAAATCAGACAAACACATAATCCTATCCCTAATAAAAAAATAACGGATAATTAATAGAAGAAGATACGATAAGGAAGCATACGGGGTCACTTGCTTCTCGTCTAAGGACCCATCAAGACATTTTTAGTAGAAAGCAAAACTGGACCACGGATAAGGTGTTATAACATTTAGGATAAACGAAGGATACAGATTTAAACTTCCACAGGATCATGAAAAATTTGATGATCGCGTACAAATCTTATAGAACCGTGCATGTGTCTGACAAGAAAATCATAATGATATTGTATATTTGTTTTGAGCCTGTAGCCAGCAGAGACTGCATATTGAATGGTGCATACGTATTAAATTTGATTAAATTTTTGTAGAGAGAGTTTGAATGCTGTTAACTCAGGATATTAAAAAAAGATGTGATCAAGATCACCCAGTATGCCGCAATGTTTGTAATTATCATCTTCAATCACATTTATTTTAAACGAATGACTTGAATAACACGTATGTCCAAAGCGAAGTCGATTTATGGTGGTTATATATTTCCATGGAACTTTAAAACTCTTAAACCAAGTAGTTTGTGGAATAACTGGTTGTAAAGTGATATATCTTATATGGTTTGTGAAGCAGTAAAGATTTCATTGATCTTTCCATGTCGATAGCGGTTTTTTTTAAATAGTAATGGCATCTGATACACATAAAGAATTTGACGATAAAGTGCATGATGTTATACTGGTTTTAGCTAAGTAATCTACGTATTCATTATCCTTGAGATTAAAATAATTAAATAAAACAAAAGAAATAAGTCGAAGTAAGATAAAAAAAAAATAATTTAAATAAATTAAAAGAAAATAAATTAGTACTAAAATAAGCATAGTCATCAATGTCAAGCTATGTGTCAAATAAAAGCCCTCAATTAGCAGATTCAATTATTTGTATCTCCAAATTTTGCTAGTGAGCGGTTTCCGACATAATTGGCAAAAATCTCTGAGTTGAATGGCCTAAAAAAATTAAATATACATATAACAAACTTTTT